TGCAAATAGATAATAATAAAAACTTGTTGCATTATTATGTTGTAATGCAAATAATAGAATATCAAAGATAATTTTATCATGAATTAAAATAGCTTTTTTTATAATCTAGAAAGAGACTTAATAACTAAAAAACTCAAATTAGATGGTTATAAAAAATATGACTAAAAAATATAATTATAGAGAGATTTGATTACAAAATCTTATTATTTCTTAATTTAATATAGAATAATATAAAAACTCAATTTTAAAATAAGTTAATTATCTGATTTTTAATTTTAATATTAACTTATTTACACTTAATGTTTCACTAATTAAGTGAACTTAAGAAAAAGTTGAAAATAAAACAAAGCAGCATTTCATAAATAAAAGATGATCCACTTCATAACATTATTTTCACAAGTGAAGTAATCAATAGTGCATTTATCTCCTTCACAACAAATCGGATAACCCTGAATACGAAAAATACGACATTGTTAATAACAATATGGCATAATGGAGCAGTCTAAAATAAAAGCTGTTATAAACTGAGGCCAGTACGTCCCGTTATCATAACAGAGTTCAATGATTATTAATAATATTGCTTGCGTGTTAGTATCCAACAAAATAAGAGTATCACCTCAGGGATGCATCAGTCGCTTCCACGACAAACCGGATAATCCTGAACACGAAAACTACGATATTTTAATAATAATGACATATTTTTAACAATTAACAAAAGTTAAAAGTATTAACACCTGAAAGCAATAAGTCCCATCTCCACAGGAAAACTGACGTCATGAAGAGAGCATATGATTAGCAATGTCAACGTATCATATAATGTTTATTCACAAACAGTGCTTAGGTAAGGATCAAAAAATTCACGAATTTAAACTTTAGTTTATGGATTCAAACCATATAATACCAAAAGCGTTTGTGAATAAGCCATGGTAATCAATTTCGTAAAAACAAATAGATACGTCGCCTCCTCCACTCTTTACTCTTCCTCCCTTTCCTCCTAGCGCCGATACTTGAGTTCGTTTTGGCCGCAATGAGAAACTTGCACGCTCAAAGAAAAGACAGCAAGAAATTAAAAGCTTTCATGACATTGCTGGAAAGGAGAGTTAAAGAATCTCAACGAATTATTATCAAAAAACTTATAGATAAAACAATAATGTTCACAAAAGAATTGGGAACAAAAACTGAGTAATTCTTTCTTATTTTCTATAGTGTCTATTATAGATAGATAAACAGCGTAGTGCACGGGGTATAGCTTGGACAAGCATAATAATGTCAAGAAGGATTCAAAGTCGTATGTAAGATCAAAAAAGAATAAAGTTTCATTTAAAGTAATCAAAACGAAGTAGAATTGTGATCTCAATATGAAACCATTGTTAACGTTAAGACAGTATTAATCTATGAGTTCAATTATTGTACCGATTTGCAGTCAATGGACTGGGGCACATTACATTTTGCTGATCATTATACATGTATAAGATCATCGACATAGACTTGCTTATTTCGATTTAGTTCATTGTTGAGATTTTTTCATTTTCATAGAATGTTATCAGAGCTTCATTTAGAGCGGTCAATAGTTATGCGCACAATGATACACACTGGCTATTTCTAAAACTATTTGTTTCCTCTTCCTCAGTACATGTGATGATGATGCTTTTGAACGATGTATAGTGTTTAATTGCGTTCGTTGTTTGACACAACGTGATATTTCTATTCGAAATGGTTTCTTATTATTACATTGTGTTACTTTATTTTACACAATATGTATTTTTGCCTATTTTTAATGTATTAAAACCTACAAAAATTTTACAAGAAATTCGCAAATAGGAAGATACTGTATTTAGAACCAGATGCTATTTTTTCAACCTGTTTTTCTCATAAAACATTTTGAGATTTGATAATTAATAATTTTTTTTTACTTTATAACAAAAAATCTTTGAAGTATTGAAAATAGCAACCTATAAAATATAAATCTCGATTATAAATTCATGCGTTTAGATGTAAAATAAAAGAAACAATGAAAAATTGTGTCGAGTCTTTTATTATCGAAAAAATGACATCGTTTAAAGAAGACGTGGCAAAAGTTAATAGTTATTATTAATCTTGTGCGAATACTAATTAAAACGTAAAATTGTATCAACAATCAGCCACCTTAAGTTCGTCTTGTAGGGTGGAATCAATTTGAAAGTAAGTTTATGCTTTGAAGTTCATTTTCTATTAAATAACATTATAATTGAAAATCAATTAAAAATTTTTAAGAAGAGCTTTAGCTCTTTGTTTATAGCATTTAGAGTTTCTAACGAAATTCTAGTCAGAGTTTCATCTCCTGAAGAATACTACAAGTTGTATTGGAAACGTGAAACATAATTACGCACAAATGTTCTAAATGTATTTTCTCGGGAGGTAGGACAGTACAACGCATATATTTTATTAAAATTGGTAAATCTGATAGAGCTGCAAACACAATTGTGAAAAATTTAATACATGAAGCGTCAAAGCAAGTTTATGTTAATTGAAAATCAAAAACAACTCAATGCAGGCAGGCTTAGATGCCAAAAACGTGAATCGTCTCATTTCTCTCATCTATAAAAAGAGCATCAAATTCCAGGAATAACACAATTAACATTCAAAAATCGCATTAATAAATGAGCAAGCAAACTTTTCTCATGTATTTCTTGGTTACTTTAATCATCTTCGCCTTTGTCTTCTCTCCATCGAGAGCATTACATTGTCAACAAGAAATAAACTATTGCACTTTTGAACCACCAAAAGGGGGACCCGCAGATCAAGTTTCTGGCAAAGTTGAATTTAATCAACTCACTGACTGTAGTGTGAGAGTCGCTGGCCAGTTCCTTTCAACACTCAAATATCCTTTGAATCCGTCTTACTACAATTTCTTTGTAATCGAAAGCCTTGCCGCTAGAAATACCCCCATTTACAATTTTGATTTCTGTCTCGGCAAACAAATTGATATTCCTTTCGCATGTAATATACCCGCTGGAAACATCTCATATTCATATCTCGCAGGTAACCTTTGTGCATTGATGAGGAGAGATTTCAACAACAGTATTGTTAATGGTACTGCACCAATTAAACAGGTTTTTTTATGAATCATGTACAATAAGATTTATATGTTAGAAACGATAGCTTGTATTTGCTTGTAAAAATGTACTTAGATATTAAAAAAATTCTTTTGGAAAGTTGGAAAGTGACATTTTGCTCATCTCGAATAAAAGTGAAATATGTATTCAGATACTAATTGTTAGTATAAAGTTTGACATAAACCTAAATGACATATTAGAGGAGAAAATAATTGTCCTTCATTTTCTGTACTAATGAACCGGTGTGTATAAATATGCTTTTAAATGCGTTCACATAGAGCGGATACTTGCTGAACAAATAATAATGGAAAATTTTTCCAGATTTAAATTAAGATAAGACGACAAGTTTAATTAGTTTTTTTTATAACATGTATTAGACTTTCACCTAATTGAATGATAAAACTGTAATTGAAGCTCATATTGACAAATTAATTTTTTCATTTTTATGATAAAACGAATATAATTGTTTGAAAGAAAAACTTTCAGAATCCAGAGAGTTAGAATAAAATACTAGACAGTAAGACCGTTCATCGTCGTTTGCATTCAGTATAATGATTTGGTTTGATTTCATCATCAATGGTGAATTCATTAGTATTTGTTTTTTAATTATTCTGAGTTTAAATCCCAAAACTGTATGTATGCTATAATTCCAAACATACCTAATGAATTTTTCTTGTCTTTCGTTTTGATCTATAATGATAATATAAAAAATCTGAAAATCCAGTTAGTTTCTTAAATATATTTACTTTTTTCAGCTTGCATCTTTGTTATCGTTGTCGTTGATTCAGAATTCACTTTCAACTTTGCGTTGCCTCTGATAATATTATTTTGTAACCTGATTTAATTGAATAATTTTATCAAAGATTTATCCATTAAGATTTTACTTTACAAACTCAGACAAGAATCTCATCCAATAATAATAATATTGATAAATATTATTCTGAAATCAAGAATTCAAAAGATTTATCAATATCTCCTATTCAGACTATATTAATTCAGAACCAGAAGAAAATAGTAACTATTCTAGTTTAGAAGAAGATAATCAAGCTGACTCAGAAAATAATAACTAACAAATAGAAGAAAAAGATAACTAAATAAATTAACAAAATAATAATAATAATTTAAAGGATCTTATTGCAGTTCTTGGAGCTCTCACTAATAGAATGACTGAATAATATAACCAGCTTATAGAAAAAATTATTATTTCTATTAGAAAATACAAAGAAAATAATCAAGATCCAACTAAATAACTCAAAGATTTTAATATTACTACTCAGACCAATGGAATTATAGCTGCTAGAAAAATACAACTAGTT